CCGGGGGCAGCTCCCATGGAGGCTGAGGGCTGCTGGCCAGGCGGCTGGAGCGAGGCTTTTGCATGCCCAGAGCAGGGGTTACTGCATCCGATTTGGGACAGGACGCTACGCACGAGGCCGAGCACTGAAGAACAGCCGCATGCTAGTGGGGGCTGCTTTTGCCCTGGGAGGCACCTTCGGCCTGTTCCAGACTCTCCATTACCCCTTAAAGGCGCAGGAGCCCCTTGCAGAGCAGCAGGCAGCCAAGGTAATCTCCTCCCTCTTCAGGGTGTTGCTGGAAATCCCGGTGCTCCTTGCAATCCTTGCGGAACACAGGGCTCCATGCTGCTTTCCCATCCCCCATTAACAAGGGATTCTGAAATGATACGGCTCTCCCTGTTTAATCTGTATTTTTATCCTGACCCCCAAATAGCTCCCATTTTTGGAGGTGCATGCTGAAATCTTGGTCCCTACTTTTAATAAAATGTTATAGGGTGGCATCGTTTCTTCCTCCCCTCCCGCACAGATTTCTCCTCAGGACGTGTTTCTAATTTTGTTCATTTTTCAGATAGTATTTTCCCTTCTAACGTCCTGTAATTGAGTTTCCAGATTAAAAGTCTATAAACGTCTCTCAAATGATCAATGGCGTTTTTTCCCCAATTTACTGAATCTGCAAATCTATTTGTAGCTTTCCCTGAATGCACTATTAATTGCTTCTTTAAAAACAATAAGTTAATTAACATTTTCCTTGCCTATGTGCGAATGAGACACTAACAAAAGGGAAGCCATAAGGTTACAATAGACTCCCTAAAAATGCCCCCAAGTTTTACTAAAAACTCTGGTGTATCAAAACTAAACTAAAACCCCCATCCTGCAAGACATACACAGATCCCTAATTTTAGTCAATAGAAAGAAAATAATCTTGTTAGTTTCAGCTTTGTTTTACTCTATTGACTTTCTGGCTCTCATACACTAGCACAATGCAGCAATATTTGGGGGTGGCAATACTTAATGAGAATGTTTAAATAAAAAAATCAGGCTTTTATGATTGACACATCTGTAATATCAGATGTTTTTAGAAAACAACATTTAAATTATTAAAATCTCTGTCAAAACTACCCAACATTATCCTCTTCGAAATTATTCATAAAAAGCTATTTTAATAGTTAAAAGTAGTTATGGGACAGAGAGAACAACAATGCTATACACTTACAAAGGGCTTTCCATCAACTAACGACTTGCTGCAAATACCCTGACGGGTTATGGAAATGAAAAACTAGGCAAAATGGTGGCACGCTGAAAAAGCTACCGGGGGGGAGAAGCTGTTCTAGATTTGATCCTAACAAATAGGGAGGAGCTGGTTGAGAATTTGAAAGTGGAAGGCAGCTTGTGTGAAAGTGATCATGAAATCATAGAGTTCACAACCTTAAGGAAGGGTAGAAGGGAGAACAGCAAAATAGAGACAATGGATTTCAGGAAGGCGGATTTTGGTAAGCTCAGAGAGCTGATAGGTAAGGTCTCATGGGAATTGAGACTGAGGGGAAAAAACAACTGAGGAGAGTTGGCAGTTTTTCAAAGGGACATTGTTAAGGGCCCAAAAGCAAGCTTTTCTGATGTGTCGGAAAGATAGAAAATACGGCAAAAGACCATCTTGGCTTAACCACAAGATCTTGCATGATCTAAAAATAAAAAGGAGTTATATAAAAAATGGAAACTAGGACAAATTACAAAGGATGAATATAGGCAAACAGCACAGGAATGCAGGGGCAAGATTAGAAAAGCAAAGGCACAGAATGAGCTCAAACTAGCTACCGGAATAAAAGGGAAACAAGACGACTTTTTATAAATACATTAGAAGCAAGAGGAAGACCAAGAAGAGGGTAGGCCCACTGGTCAGTGAGGAAGGAGAAACAGTAACAGGAAACTTGGAAATGGATGAGATGCTCAATGACTTCTTTGTTTCGGTCTTCACCGAGAAGTCTGAAGGAATGCCTAACATAGTGAATGCTAGTGGGAAGGGGGTAGTTTTAGAAGGTAAAATAAAAAAGA